TCACAATCAAACATTTTTTTTAGAGAGAGATTTTTGCTACAGGGTGTGTGCTCTTGCCAGAGAAACAGAGATGGAAAGCAAGAAATCACACTCCAGGGGAGATGGTCATGCTGCAATCCCTTCTCCATTTCCCTCTTGGATCTTGGGCACGCGTGCACACGATGCCTGGTGTGTGTTTTAAGCCACTTGGTTCAGAACTTGAACCATGGTCACCTATGTGGGAGTCTAGTGATGTAACCATTATGCCATCTGCTGGTCCCTCAAACATTTTTAAAAAAATAGATATTAGGGGCCAGCAGGTGGTTACGGGTGCTGGACTCCCACATGGCTGACTGTGGTTCAAGTCTCGGACCTTGCTTGCTTTCTCACTTTCTCTTTCTCTCTCTGGTCAAATAAAAATAAATAAATAAAGCTAAACAGTTCTTTAAAAAGAAAAAGTAGATATTATACAGTAAATAAATTCTAGGAACATTTGGAGAATAGTCTTTAAAACCTGTGTTGCTGAGTGTTATATGACAAATTCTTTTAGTATTTTCTCTAGAGTAATTTTCTGGAATAAGAGGCTGAGTTTCTGATTCACAGGTGGCTGGCAGGGGATATATCTGCCCCTCCATCTAGAAAAGTGATAACATTAACACCTGGTACAGGGCCAGCAGGTGACGTGGAGGTTAGGGCTTGGATCCCACATGGCTGACTGCAGTTTGAGTCCAGGACCAGTACTTGAAAATCACGTAGGCATATGTATATTTGTGCCCAAGATCCTGAGGAGAATGAAGGAGAAGGGAATTGTGATGTGGTCATCCTCTCTGAGGGGTGATTTCTCAGTTTCCCTCTGGCTGTCTATCTGGCAAGTACACACTATAATAGAAACTAAAAAGGGGCTTGCAGGTGATTTGGTGGTTAAGGCTCTGGATTCTTACATGGGCAACTGTGTTTCAAGTCCTTGTCCCAGTAGCTTGAAGATCACCAAAGATAAATAGATGAATAAAATCAGTAAATGTTAGAACAAAAACAAAAACACCTAGTGCAGAGATACAGATGTCAAGCTGTGTGGTAGAGAAGAATGAGATAGTTGTTTCTTAAACACTTCCTTATGAATAAACTCATTCTGTAACTAGGCCAGTGTGCTTATTCTTCTTACTATACTTTAAAAATGTACAGTTGGGGAGACCAGCAGTTAGTGTAATGGCTGTGTCACTGGACTCCCACGGAGTCAACCACAGTTCGAGTCTGGACCTGGAGGCTTAAACTCACACCGGGTGCATGTGCGTGCATGCCCAAGATCCTGAGAGGAGAATGGAGGAGAAAGGATTGCGGTGTGGCTACCCCCCTGGGGGGTGATTTCTCACTTTATGTCTCTATGTCTCTCTTTGTCTTCCTGGTGAGTGCATGTGCCCTATAGCAAAAACCACCACAGTTGGGCCCATGGAGTATAATTTCCTTCCTTATTTTTTTTCTCTTGTTAATAGAGAGTGTGCACCCACCAGAGAGAGACACAAGAGAAAGGCAGAGAGAGAAACTGAGAAAGCATACCCGGGGGGAATGGCCATGCTGTAGTCCCTTCTCAGTTCTTTTGGGGTTTTGGGCATGCATGCACATGTGCTGAGTGTGATTTTCAAGCTGCCTGGTCTGGGAGTGGACCTCTGGTTGGCCATGTGGAAGTCCAGCCCCTTAATCATCACACCACCTGCTGGCCCCACTTTGCTAGTTATTAAGGATTCAAAAATGTGTACTTATTTTGTAAGGAAGTTAGAAATGGCAACCAAAAAAAATTATGATTTTTTTAAAGGTTTTTTTTTTTTTTAACTGCCAGAGGGCATGAATATTCTCCAGAGACAGAGAGGGAGAAAGTACCCCTTACTGGGGCATGGTCATGTCACTGTTCCCTCTCCTCCATTTCTCCATCCTATGGGGATTTGGGACACACACACACACACACACACACACACGTGTGTGACACGGTTTTCAAGCTGCTGGTGCTGAGATTTGAACTTGAGTTGGCCTTGTAAGATCTGGCTCCCATCACCAGTAGACTGCAGGGCTGGCCCAGTAATAAATGACTGAATAGAGCTCATTACCTTTTTTTTTGGAGAGGTTTTCGCTATAGGGCACGTGCGCTCTCCAGACAGAGAGAGACAGAGAGCTAGAAAGCGAGAAATCACCTCCCAGGGGGGATGGCCATGCCGCAATCCCTTCTCCTCCATTCTCCTCTCGGGATCTTGGGCATACACGCACACACGCCCGGTGTGAGTTTAAGCCACCGGGTCTGGGACTCGAACCATGGTCGACTACATGGGAGTCCAGTGACATAGCCATTACGCTAACTGCTGGTCCCAGAGCTCATTACCTTTTAGAGTAAAGATAAGAGGACTGGGGGCTGAGTCTTTGGTGAAGCAGTAATGCGCTTGTTCAGGACAAGCAGGATCCCATGTGGTGATAGTGGGCAAATCCTTGGCCCGGTGTGCCTGATACATGCTGGGTATGCGTGTGAGTGCCCAGGATCTGAGGGCAGACTGGAGGAAGGGGATCATGGTGTGACCAGGCCCTATGGGGAGGGCTCTCCTCTCTCTTACTCTTGTTTTTACGTGTATGCATTCTGTTTTGAATAAAGAAAAAATACTTTAGGAAAGATAAGAGGATTGGAATGAGAATTTGAGTTCAAATTATGAGCAAGAAACAGACTCCAGTTTGAAAGCTATTCTTGGTTCTGCCTAGGATATCATGGAAGGAATACATTACCTACTTGTTAGGAAATGGGGTGTTTTGGGGCATCAGCATATACTTATAACTTAGCCTTTGGAGAAGAGCTTCAAGATCTTGGTATAAATAAAGCCACGATTCATGAAAATTCTCTTTGTTATTCTACCTAGTCTATTTAGAAGGTGATGCTTGTGTTGTGGAACTTTTTCTCTACACTGAAGTTGTACATTACTCTTCTTTTTGCTTTTTCTGTGGTGTTGCATATGGCCGCTGTGCAAGGGAGTTAAACTCCTCAGGCCCCTTTCTGTTTTCTTATTTGTTAAGCATTCTTGGCCCGCAGGCGAAGGTGGACAGATGAACTTTTGCTTTCTCAGTCTCTTTATTAATTGATATCTTGGCTACTAACTTTACTCATTTTTGTGTCACCGTTGCTTAATGACCTTTATCTAAAAAGATGGGTTATTGAGAGGTCCTTGCTATTGGGTCATCAGGGGAAGCCATGATACATTTTTCTATACAAAAATGTGTCATGACTTTTCCTGATGACCTAGTAGTTTGAAAGCTGGCCGTGAACTTCTGTGTTTCATGAAAACTTTAAATAATACCAAACATTTTGGTGACTTGTTTCTGTCCTTTCTTCAGACACGCAAAAAGAAGCACAATTAACACTGACGATGTGAAGCTCTTAGCCAGGAGGAGTAATTCACTGGTGAGAGATGAATTTCTTTCCTCACTCCCCTTTCCCATCAGAATACATTATTCCCAATTAATCACTTGAAGCCATGAAGTTATTCCCTAGGGCACCTTGCATTAAAAACTGGAGATGGTTGAACCATTCAGACCTACCTATAATTTATAGTCTTTCTTTCATTATGATGGATCTTGCAAAGCCAATTTGAAATTTTCTAATCAGCACTCTGGATTTTATAATTTTCCTTTTTAGTAATATCTCAAAACTTTGTTTCCATGTTTCATTTACGAAATGATATCAGAGGCTAGAGTCTGTGGGGGATAGTTTCATTACGGTGTCCACAGTTCTCATAATGGGCCAGGTATGGGAGTGTATGACTGCATGTGCAAGAAGAAGCACATTTTCTATCTTGTTAAGTCTAGACATCATTATCAACCAAGTCCTGACTCTCCAGGTAAAGACAGTGGTACCCAGAGATGTCATGATGCTCCCAGGCTAATGGGTGTGGCCTCTGACCGATTGAGAACACCAGGGAGATTTCCTGTGTGCAGTGCTTTCAGTTAAAACATGTATTCCTCCCTATACTGTGGAGCCCACAAGGACAGTGCTTTTTGTCTCTTTGTTCTCTGCTCTATCTATATTGCTTAGTACATGGCTTGGCATTCAAGGGTAATCAATAAATAGTTGTGGCACAGGGGCCAGCAGTTGGCGTAATGGCTGTGTCGCTGGACTCCCATGTAGTAGATTGCGGTTTGAGTCCCGGACCTGGTGGCTTAACCTCATGCCGGACACATGTGCGTGCATGCCCAAGCTCCCAAGAGGAGAGTGGAGAAGGGATTGCGGTGTGGCCATCCCCCCCCCGGCCCCTGGGGGGTGATTTCTCATTTTCTCTCTCTCTCTCTGTCTTTCTGGTGAACACATACACCCTATAGCAGAAATCTCTCAAAAAAAAATAAGTTGTGGAATAAAGACGTTTGTATAGTACTTTAGTTAAATGGGGCTTTTATAGATACTATTTTACATGTATTATTTAATCCTCACAACTACTTTGTATAGGTTTATAATAAGCCAGTACAACTTTATTAGCTCTGTTTTACAGGCTAGCCAAGAGAAGTTAAGTGACTTTCCAAAGTTGAGTCTCACGCCTTCTGGCTGATAGCTGAACTTAACCTTTTACAGCTGAGTCTCTACTCTCCTTTTCCAATATCCTTTCTCCAAGGATTAAGGTGAAGGATGATACAGTTCTGGGACCAGCAGTTAGCGTAATGGCTATGTGGCTGAACTCCCATGTAGTCGACCGCGGTCCGGACCCAGTGGCTTAAAATTCATGCCGGGCACGTGTGTGTGCGTGCCCGAGATCCCGAGAGGAGAACGGAGGAGAAGGGATTGCAGCGTGGCCATCTCCCCTGGGGGGTGATTTCTTGCTTTCTGTCTCTCTGTTTCTGTTTGGTGAACGCACGTGCCCTATAGCAAAAACCTCTCTAAAATAAAAAAATAAATAAAAAAAGGATGATACAGTTCTTACATAAAATAGCTAAATGTTTGGTGATTCTCTCTATCATTGGAAACACATTACACATTCCTGTCTTCCTAAATTCCATGTTCTGTCACAGCTGTTATTTGGTCTGATTCATCAAAGAGTTTCTATCTTTTGCAAAGGAATGGTGAATTTAGCTCATTGTAGAATATTTGGAAGTCATTTGCTTATTGCGTACTTGTTTACTTCAGAATATTCCTTTCATTTTGAACTCTTGATTTTTTTCTTTTTTTTAGAGCTTTTTGCTATAGGGCGCATGCGCTCACCAGAAAGACAGAGACAGAGAGACAGAAAGCGAGAAATCACCCCCCAGGGGAGATGGCCACGCTGCAATCCCTTCTCCTCCATTTTCCTCTCAGGATCTTGGGCTCGCAGGCACCCAGCGTGAGTTTAAGCCACTGGGTCCAGGACTTGAACCGCAGTCGACTACATGGGAGTCCAGTGACATAGCCATTATGCCAACTGCTGGTCCCAAACTCTTGATTTTTTCCATCTGTGAGTGCCTTATTACTGAAGAGTGCAGCTAAATTATGCATTTGTTTAAGTCCTCAGTGAGGATGGGGACTTTGTCTTACTTATCTTGTATCCCCCATACCTAGTACATAGAAGTTGTTTAATAAATTTTATTTGGATAAATTTAGGGGGATGTTGATTATATCTATGCTTTATAGAGTATACCTGAGATTGACATGTTTTCTATGTGCTTCCAAATTTTAATTCTTTTGATTACTCAGGGAACTCTTACATTGAAGTTTACCTCTTGGAAGTTATGTGAGTAGCAGTGAGTTGACTTTTTATTTATTTTTTTTGGAGAGGTTTTTGCTATAGGGTGTGTGCGCTCGCCAGACAGAGAGAGACAGAGAGACAGAAAGCGAGAAATCACCCCCCAGGGATAGTCATGCCGCAATCCCTTCTCCTCCATTCTCCTCTCGGGATCTTGGGCATGCACGCACATGCGCCCGGAATGAGTTTCAAGCCACTGAGTCCGGGACGCGAACCGCGGTCGACTACATGGGAGTCCAGTGGCATAGCCATTACACTAACTGCTGGTCCCGTTTTGTAATTGATTCTCTTTTCCAGAAAAAAAAAATTTTTAAGAGGTTTTTGCCTTGGTACCAGCAGTTAGCGTAATGGCTATGTTGCTGAACTCCCATGTAGTTGATTGACCGAGTCCCAGACCTGGTGGCTTAAACCCACACCGGGCACGTGTGCATGAGTGCCCAAGATCCCGGGAGGAGAATGGAGGAGAAGGGATTGCAGCGTGGCCATCCTCCCTGGGGGGTGATTTCTTGCTTTCTGTCTCTCTGTCTCGCTCTGTCTTTCTGGCGAGCGCATGCCCCCTATAGCAAACATCTCCAAAAAAAAGAGGTTTTTGCCTTAGGGTATATGCGCTCTCTGAAGAGAGAAAGCTAGAGACAGAGGGAATGTGAGAAATCACTCCCTGTGGGGGCATAGCCACACGGTAATCCCTTCGCTTCCATTGTCCGGGGATGTGGGGCACACATACACATGTGCCCAGTGTGTTTCAAGCCACTGGGTCTAGGACTCGAGCCATAGTTGGTTATGTGGGAGTCCAGTGATGTAACTGGTGTATCAACTGCTGGTCCCCAGAAAAATTTTAAAGCTGTATTTAATTCTAAGAAGTATAACCCAGGGCCAGCCCCATAGCATAGTGGTTAAGGGATCTGGATCCCATATTGCTCAGTATAGTTTGAATCCCAGCCCTGGTGGCTTAAAAAACATGCCAAGTGCACATGTGTGTGTCTAAGATCCTGACAGGATGGAGAGATGGAGGAGGAGGGATTGTAGCAGACCCCGCCGGTCAGTGCTCCCCACCCCCATCTCTGTCTTATCTCTCTCTGGTGAGTGAACTATCCTCTGACAATTAAAAAAGTAACTAAGCTTCTCCATCCAAATTCTTTGAGTGGGAGAGGCCTTTTTTTTTAAAAGAATTTTATTTATTTATTTATTTATTTATTTATTTTGATCAGAGAGAGACACATAGAGAGAAAGGCGGGGGGGAGTGAGAAAGCAAACCACCAGGTCCAGGACTCAAACCATGGTCAGCCATGTGGGAGTGTCCAGTGCTTTAACCACCACACCACCTGCCAGTCCCATTTTTTTTTTAAAGGCTTAGAAAATGACTTTCAACCAGATGTAAATACAATTTTTTTATTTGTGTAGCTAAAATACATCACAGAGAAAAATGAAGAAATTGCTCAGCTTAATCTAGAACGAAAGACAAAGAAGAAAAAGAAATCAGAAGATGGAAACAAAAATTCAAGTGAGCCAACAGAGGCTGATATAGTGGAAAGTGAGAATTAAACTCTCTTACTGCTTGGGAAAAGTGGCCTTCAGCATGTACAGCTACCGAGTAATGCTACAAGGGACTTTTGAAGGGATAAGTGAAGACTGGGAAAAAAAAAAGGGCTAGGCAGCTTTTTGTGCTGTATTTGTCTTAGTCATTAACTGAAAAAGCTAATTTAGAAGAGAACTGGACACTCTTAAGCAAAATATCCCTGTGTCTTTTGCGCATAAGAAAAAGGTGTGTACGGGCCAGCAAGTGGTGTGGTGGTTAAGGTGCTAGATCCCACATGGCCAACTCTGCAGTTCAAGTCCCAACCCTAGCGGTTTGTGTATCATGCCGGGTATGTGTGTGCCCAAAGTCCCAAGAGGAGAATAGAGAAGGGACTGGTGTGGCCACCCACCCTCGAGGGTGATTCTCACTTTTCCTCTCTCTGTCTCTGTCTCTCAGTGGTAAGTGCACACAACCTATGGCAAAAATCTTAAAAAAAAAAGTGTGTGTTTGAATGGTGCATATTGGAAGCTATACCTGTTGTAATTAATAATAAAATTGTGATCAACTAAACATGATTGACTTTTTAAAAAGAGTTATTTATTTATATTTATTATTATTATTTTAAAAAATTGACCTGAGAGAGAGAAAGTAAGAAAACAAGTCGCCAGGTCTAGGACATGAACTGTGGTTGGCCATGTGGGAGTCCTGCACCTTAACCACTGTACCACTGACAGCTCCAACATGATTGACTTTTTTTAAGCAAAAATCTGTTATTCTTTTACATAAATAAAATGAGCTAGATGATAATCTCTGAAAGTTTAATACAGCTATATTTATTTAGCCCATCTGATTACTCATTTTTTAAAACTACGCTACCTATGATCACCAGGTAATAAGGAGGGTATTTGCGAATGGTCCTTTTTACTTTTTAAATGTGATTTTTAAACATGGTTTTAAATGTGCTTTTCTCCACACACAGTTTATATGACTTTTCTCTGGCTATTTTTATGTGAGATCATGTTCCCAAACATTCCAGTTCTACTGTCTTCTCATGTCTTTGGGTTTCTTAGCAGTCCAGGGCACACCTTTCCCTTGTGGGGCAGTACAGGTAAAGAAAAGGGACTGGCGTTCAGTCCTCTCTGTACACACTAGGCGCTATATATATTGCATCATTGGATCTTCACAACTTTATCTGTTGTTTATCTGGTGGATCTGATCATAATCCATTTTACTGAAGAGCAAACTGAAGCTTTACAAAGTTAACCAACTGCCCAGGATCACTAGGCTACCAACCAGTAGATATAGTGCTCACATATGGGAGTATGAGTGGGCAGAGAGAAAAGGGCATGCATTTTGGAACCTGCAGGTGGCATGGTGGTTGGGGGCACTGGCTCCCACGTGGCTGACAACAGTTTGAGTTCTGGACCTAGTGACTTGCTTTCTCACTTTCTCTCTCTATCCCACTCTGGTCAAATTAAAAAATAAATAAATAAAGTTAATTAAAATAATTATACCATTTCTGCCCAAATATGATCATCAGCAGATACCCCAAAGTCTGACTTTCGAAGAAAGATGTTAAGCTATGATCATATTAAAGCACCAAATTCAAACTTCATGGTTTAAAGTACTGCAGTAACTAATCTTTTGAAATATTTAATTACAACATCTGCCTGTTACATCAGAGTAAGAAGAGTGAATCGTAAAGCCTGCTGTCCTTATGGTATGTTCAGCTAAAGATCCATAGATTAGCCGTTGTTTTCAGATATTCTTTTGTTGTTTTTAGCTTGCTATAGGGCACATGTGGTTGCTGGAAAAAGACAGAGAGAGGAAGAGAGGGAAGGTGAGAAAGCAGCTCTTGGGAGTGATGGCCAAGCTGCAATTCCTTCTCCATCCAGTTCTGTCAGGATTTTAGTCACCCCCACACACGCACTCAAGTGTGCTTTTCAAGCTGCCAGGTCTGGGACTTAAACCGCACAGTCAGCCATCTGGAATCCAACCACTTTCACTACAGTGCAACGGGCAGACCCTGCTTCTGTAAATTTCTCATTTGCAAGAATACCTTAAAACTTTATTTTTTAAATAATTATTTTATTTATTTATTTTTTATTAAATTTGACCAGAGACACAGAGAGAGAGAAAGTGAGAAAGCAAGCCTCCAGGTCCAGGACTCAAATGGCAGTCAGCCACCTGAGAGTCCAGTGCCTTAACCACCATACTGCCCAGCAACCCACATACCTCAAAACTGTTCTTTTTTTCTTTTCCCTGAGATTTTTGCTATAGGGCACGTGTGCTAGCCAGAGAGACAGAAAGCGAGAAATCACTCCTTGGGGGAGCGACCATGCTGCAGTCATTTCTCCCATTTTCCCTTCGGGATTTGGGGCATACATGCACATGCACCTGGCATGAGTTTCAAGCTACCGGGTCCGGGACTTGAATCACATCAACAAGTGGTAGTTCAGTGCCTTAGCCACCACACCACCTGCTGGCCCCCTCAAAACTGTTAAAGTCATTTGTGGTAATTATTTTAGGCAAAAAGGAAATGATTTTGGTATAGAAATAAGGGACTAAGTAACAGTGTGTAAGTCATAGGTCATCAGATCTTGCTAGTTTCACCTAGAATTATAAAGTAAAGACTGTGACAAATACAGTTTAAGATCGAGATTTTCCTGGACTGGCACTGTAGCACAGTGGTTAAGTATTACGTATTAGGAGCTGGACCCAGTTTGAATCCTGGTCACAGTTTGAATCCTGGACCCAGTGGCATGAAAAACATGCTGGATATGTTTGTGTGTGCATGCGTGTGCCCAAAATCCTGATGAGACAGGGAAATGGAGGAGACCAAATTACAGAATGACTAGGTCATATCAGAGGGTATTTTCTATCTGGTGAGTGTGTGCATCCTCTGGTGATTTTTTAAAAAGTTTGGATTTCCCTGTGAAGGAGTGTGAATCAGAGCTATGGAAAACAAAACATCTATGACTTCTGGAATGATCTGTCTGTGGTTTAGTTTTGAGCCTTGCCGTGGAAATGGGCCATGTTCAGTAGGTTTGAAGTGATTGTTTCAGGTTTTACTAGCTGTCTTGGTTGAGTGAAGGCATCTATACATTTGTCTATGTGATTCCGAAAGTAGGACCCATGAAGAGAAACCTGGAGGTGAAACAGAGGGACTTCACATTCTGTACTTCTTGGCAGTGGTGCCATCCTTGGGAGGATAGTGAGCCCTGGGAGCTGGCCAAGTGCAGTTTTCTCAAATTGTAACTAGCCTGGTTGGTCTAGGCTTAGCATCACTTGGGAGCTCGTGAGACACGCAGGCTCTGAATTCCTGTAAGCACCTACTGCATTAGCATCATAGTCCTGGAGGTTCAGGTGTACCTTACAGTTTGAGAAGGCAGAGGATAGCAGGCCTGGCTGGCTGGCTGAGAGGCAGTGCTGGGAACAGGTTACTTGGGTTGTCCATGTCCACGATGCAGTGAAACCAGTGGATGCTATTGGAGCATCTCACTGAGCTCTTTGCCTCTTTGTTCTGCCCAGAGCAAATTTGGGCATACTTTTATATGGACGACATTTCCTGTATTAACCTCCTTATTTAAGGCAATTTTTTAAAAATTTGCCTGAAAGGGACCAGCAGTTAGCGTAATGGCTATGTCGCTGGACTCCCATGTAGTCAACCGCGGTTCGCGTCCCGGACCCAGTGGCTTAAAACTCATGCCGGGCGCGTGTGCGTGCATGCCCAAGATCCCGAGAGGAGGATGGAGGAGAAGGGATTGCGGCGTGGTCATCCCCCCTGGGAGTTGATTTCTTGCTTTCTATCTCTCTGTCTCTCTCTGTCTGTCTGACGAGCGCACATGCCCTATAGCAAAAACCTCTCAAAAAATTTTTTTTTGCTAGAAAGTGTGTGCGTTTGTCCAAGAGACAGACAGGGAGAGAAGGAATGCACCTTCCAGTGGGGTGTGGTTACATGGTAATCCCTTCTCCAAAATGTCAGCATTTTGGGCCTGCATATGCATACACCCGGTGTGGTTTTCAAGCTGTTGGGTCTGGGACTTGAACTGCACAGTTGGCCATGTGGGATCTAGTGCCTTACCTCTATGCCACCTGCTAGTCCTCCCCAAGGTTATTATTATTATTATTATTTAAGATTATTTCTTCTATGATCAGAAGAGACAGCACCCCCAAACAGGGTCTTGATGCTGCAGTGCACTCTCCATCCAGCCACAGATCATGGGCATGTGGGTGCCTAGTGTACTCAAGGAGGTCTCTGGACATGAATTTGGAACCCTCCTATTTGAATGGCCTTGCAGAATGTTGTATTTTAACAGTGTGTCACTGTCCAGCCCCTCCCTTGCTTTTAAAAAATCTGTCAAGAGGCACATGTAGTTCCCAGAGAGAGAAAGAGAGAGAAATCACTCCCAATGTAGTGTGGTCATGCTATAATCCCTTGTCCATTTTGCACATACACATGCACACACACGTGCCTGGTGTTTTTTTTCAAGCTGCCAGATCCAGGGTTTAAGCCACATGGTTGGCCATATGAGATCTGGCTTCTTTAACCACTAGGTTATGGGACCTCCTCACTGCTCATCTACCTTTTTTGTTGTTGTTGTTGGATTTTTGCCATAGGGTGTGAGTTCACTGGAGAGAGACAGACACAGAGAGAGGGAAAGTGAGAAATCACCCCCCTCTCCAGGGGGGATGGCCATATTGCAGTCTCTTCTCCCCCTTGTCTCTGGATTTTGGACATGCACACACATATACCTGTGCAATTTTCAACCCTCTAAGTGTGGGACTCAAATCGCAGTCAGCCATGTGGGATCCAGCACCTTAACCACCACATCACCTGTTGCCCACCTCCCCTAATTTTTTTTCTGTTTAAAAGCTAGGGTCTTAGGATCAGTAGATGGCATGGTGTTTAAGGCACTGTACTTCCACATGGCTGACTGCAGTTTGAGTCCGAGTCCCAGACCTGGCAGCTTGCTTGCCTTTTGTTTTTTATTCCAGGTAGATTTTTGGTATAGGGTGCATGTACTTGCCAGAGACACAGAAAGATAGAAAGTAAAAAATCACCCCCCAGGAGGGATTGGCCACACTGTAGTCCCTTCTCTGTTCTCTCGATATTTGGGGCACACACGCCCAACCTGAGTTTTAAGCTGCTAGGTCTGGGACTCGAACCGCATTTGACTCGAACCGCATATGTGGGCATCCAGTAACGTAATTACGTGATCTGCTGGTCCCATTGGCTTGCTTCTTACTTTCTCTCTGTTGAGTGCATGTCCCCTATAGCAAATTTAAAAATAATAAATACAAAAAATTAAGTAAATAATTCTTTGGGAATTATGTTGCCCATATATACTTGCATCATACTTGTGATATTCCTTCCATAGCTTCCGGAGTAGATGGGACTACAGGTGTGCAACACTATGCCTGGCTTCTAAGGCTAATTTTATATTATGTTAAATCACTTACTTTTGTTCTCCTGGCTTCCTGCTTGCTGTAGGGATAATTATGAGGAAGTAAAACTTCTGAAGCAAGTGCACGTGCATTCCAAAATAAGAGCAGTTTCATAGGAAAAGACCTGAGGCTTTAATTAAGGGCTTAAAATGCAATCTTTTGTGGCCACTGATTGCTCAGGCTTCTGCGTCACTGTGAGTGAGGAAAGGGGGGTCCAGGCTTCAGACATGTATAGACAAAACAGCTGGAGGTTGAGCTTAAAATACCCCCCAAGCTTAAAATACCTCCCAATCGCCAAAGAAGAGGCCCAAGTCCACAAACACTGAGATTTCAGAGCTGCCAAGGATGAGCAGAGCAGGAGAGAAGCACCGGGCAGCCTGCAGAATGCTGCCACCTCTGCACTTGCTGCTGCTGCTGCTGCTCTCAGGGGCCATGGCCACCGCTGCCCTTCCTCTGGATGGTGGCCCCACCAGCCAAGACAGCGGGGTGAGTACGGGCCCTCCTTAGCCACACGCCAGCCCACTGTCTGTGTCTCTTTGTCCTAGGCGTTTTGGTCAGGCCTGTGGATTCACCCTCATTCCGCGTGGCTGTGTGTGCGGCATGCATACATGTGCATGCATGTGCATTAGTTACAGTTTACGAATAGGACAGAATGCAGGGCTCAACTGCATGGAGTTCCCAGTTGTCCCCTGGAACTGTGATGTCCCACTCAGGTCACCGATTTCCATTTATCTTCATATGTGCCAGCCCATGAAATTTGTTAGAAACCTCCGCAACTCAAGGGAGCCCCTTCCTGCTGGCTTCCTGCTCTCCAGCTGCTAATCTGAGAGAGGCGAAGTGGTCGAATCTGTTGCAGAGCAGTCGTGGAGCTGCTGCTGCCCATGTTAGTCAGACAGACTTCTAGAGCCTTAATTTATACGTCCAGCACATGTTCTCACTGGCTCGTATTAACTGACATCATTACATTTGTCATTGTGAGAATTTGTAACTTCATGAGGTGATTTATTTTCCTTTTTTTCCATTTTGAAAAAGTTCCAAGAAAGAGTACATAAAATTGATCATTAAAAATGGATTTTTCTCTAAAATTACCAGATGAAATTCAGATAGGCCATTTATCATCAGATTACTCCTAAAGCTTTCTAAGGAATTGGAAAGATCTGAGCATAATGTCTCAATCCGATCTGTCTGGGGAGCAATGTGTGGCTGTCTAGGAGCATGTCAAAGATGGGCAAACAAGCTAAATTAGCTTGATGTACCTGAGGGCTTCCTAGTTAAGTCAGCCGGTGGAGAATGACAGATTTCCTGACCACTTCTAATTAAGGACCTCAGCAAAGATTATGGGGCCAGACCAACATTTTTTTTCTTCTTCGACTGAAAATTGGCCACTTTTCCTTTTCTCTAATTAGGGTAATTCTTTAGATGGTTTCTTTCTCATCCTTTAAATGGAAATGTGATTTATTCTTGTGAAACATCTTTTATTTTTAAAGCTACTCAGGAGGCTGAGGCAGGAGGATTGTGAGTTCGAGGCCAGTTTGAACAACATAGCAAGACCCTGTCTCTTAAAAAAAATTGCTAAGGGAAAGATTGTGTATATTTAAATGCTGGCTGAGCCAGATTGTTGATTTTTCTTTCTTTTGTCATCTGCTTCTCTTTAAAAGCATATGCTGGAAGTCGCAGAAATAAAGAAAAGCAACTTTTTGACTTTCCTTGCTTGGTGGTATGAGTGGACCTCCCAGGCTCATGGCATGTCCCTCACTGGAGGGGAGCCCAGGGAAGTTTCCAAACGGCAGGAAGGCCTGTCACTGCCACAGTCCACACGCCGAGATAAAGCACCCTGCAAGAATTTCTTCTGGAAGACCTTCTCCTCCTGCAAATAAAACTTCACCCATGGTACTCATGTAAAAAGTGTAACAATGGACCTTAATAAAATGTATTAAGCAGTGGTAATCTTTCTTCTTTAGGTAGTTTTCTTCTCCTTCCCATGTTCTTGGAAAAGTATTTTTACTTTAAACCACAAATATGTTTAATACAGTCAATGTCTTGAGTAATTTGGAATACAATGTGAACTTTTTTTTTTAGATAGATTTTTGCTATAGGGCATGTGCACTTGCTGGAGAGACAGAAAGCAAGAAATCACCCCTAGCGGGGATAGCCATACCTCAGTCCCTTCTCCATTCTCCTCGGGATTTGGGGCACAGAAGCACATGAGCCTGGTGTGATTTTCAAGCTACCAGGTCCAGGAATCACACTGCAGCTGGCCATGTGGGATCCAGTGCCTTAACTCCCATGCCACCTGCTGGCCTAAGGTAACATATTCAACCTATTCTAAGAGTTCAGAATAACATCTAATTTCAGTTTATATTAATATGAATTGTCTAATTTATTTATTTATTTAAAGAATTATTTCCTTTATCATTATTGTTATTTTTTAATTTGACCAGAGGGAGACATTAAACTGTGGTCAACCATGTGGGAGTTCAGTGCCTCTAACCACCATGCCATCTGCAGACCCCTTGAATTGTCTAATTAAAAAATTTTTTCTGGGACCAGCAGTTGGCGTAATGGCTACGTCACTGGACTCGCATGTAGTTGACCGCACTTCAAGTCTTGGACCTGGTGGCTTAAATTTACACCAGGCGTGTATGCGTGCGTGCCCAAGATCCCGAGAGGAGAATGGAGGAGAAGGGATTGTGGCATGGCCACCCCCTAGGGGGTGATTTTTGTTTCTATCTCTGTCTTTCTCTGTCTTTCTGGCGAGCGCACGTGCCCTATAGCAAAAACTGCTCCAAAAAAAAATGTTGTTTTTCCCAGGACAGCTGGTGGTGTGGTGGCATAGGTGGTAAAGGTGGCCGGATCCTACATGTTCAACCACCATTTATTTAAATGTATGAAAAATAAAAACTGAATAATTCTTTTACAAAAAAATTCCCTCACAGTAAAAGCAAAAAAATTTTAAAAGAATTATTTTATTTAACTTTATTCTAATTTGACCAGACAGGGACAGAGTGAGTGAGTGAGAGAGAGGGAGGGAAATTGAGAAAGTAAGCTGCCAGGTCTGGGACTCAAACTATGGTTGGCCATGTGGGAGTCCAATGCCCTTAACCACCACACCATCTACTGGCTCCTAAAAGCGAATTTTTAACATTGTGCTCAGAGCAAAATATTTATTCATGTTGTAGCTAAAGTTAATTTAAAAACATGTTATGCATTAACAGATAACATCATGCTGGCATGCTTATAAAAGTTACATTCTTTTTTGTTATGTACTAGTTTTCATTTTTTTAAAGGATTACTTTATTTAACTTTGTTATTTATTTTAATTTGACCAGAGAGGGACACGGGGTTGGGGGAGGTGGGGAGAAAGAGAGAGAGAGAGAAAGTGAGAAAGTAAGCCACCACGTCCAGGACTTGAACTGCGGTCAGCCATGTAGGAGTCCCGTACCCTTAACCACCATGCAACCTGCCAGCCCCATTATGCACCAGTTTTAATGAGCAAGTCAATATTAATTTGTTACTATTCTTTTCATGGATTATAGCTTCAGGTTTGCTTCATGAGGACTGAAGTCTACTTAAAAGTATTACCTTAAGGGGCCAGCAGGTGGTGTGGTGGTTAAAGATACTGGACTTACACATGGCTGACCATGGTTCAAGTCCTGGACCTGGTGACTTGCTTTCTTTCTTTCTCTCTCTCTGTGTCTCATCGAAACTGGAAAATACTAAATGAAGTTAAATAAAATAGTTCTTAAAAAAAAAAAAAAAGTATTATCTCAAGCCAGACATAGTGAGCAGTGCTGTGCTGCTACCCAGCTGGCAAACTTTGCCTCAGCTTCTTTTATAATATTAGGGGACTTCAAAAAGTTTGTGGAAAATAGAATTAAAGTATGAGTTTATTTTGGTGTAGATATATTTTAAAATTCAAGCATAGGATTTTTTTTTTTTTTTAAAAGTGAGGAAGCAAGCCACTAGGTCCGGGACTTCAGCCACAGTCAGCCATGTGGGAGTCCAGCACCCTTAACCACCATGTTACCTGCCAGCCCCAAATTTAATGTATTTTAAAAAATTTATTTTATTTTGGGGCCAGCAGGTGGCATGGTGGCAGGGGGTGCTGGACTCCCACATGTCTGACCACGGTTCAAGTCCTGGACCTGGTGGCTTGCATTCTCACTTTCCCTCCCTCTCTCTCTGATCAAACTGGAAAAGAATAATAATAAAGTTAAGTAAAATTAAAATTTCCTTCTTAAGAGATTTTTGTTATTGGGCACATGTGCTCCCTGGAGAGAGAGAGTAATAAATCACCCCCATAGGGTAAGGCCATGACATAGTCCCTTTCCCTCCATTCTTTGGGGATTTTGGGGCACATAGGCACACATGCCTGCTGCTGAGTTTCAAGCTGCCAGGTCTGGGTCTCGAACCATGGCTAAGTCTTGTGAGAGTCCAGCGTCTTAACTATGCCACTTGCTGGCCTCATTTTTATATTTTTTAAAGTTTTTTGCCATAGGGTGTATGCACTCACCAGAGAGAGATAGACAATGAGAGGAAAAGTGAGAAATCACTCCTTTCTCTGCCATTCTCCTCCTGGGACACGCACATGCACCTGGTGTGATTTTCAAGCTAGCCTGGTCCTGGACTCAAACTGCTGCAGTCAGCCATGTGGGAGTTTAGTGCCCTAACCAGCAGGCCACCCTGCTGGCCCCATGGATGTTTTTCATAATAGGCATTTTCCATGAACTTTCTGAAGATCTCTTGTACAAAGACCTCCCAGGTCTTAGTATTCAGACTTTGTTCCATGATAAATGGATTACATTTATGTGTGTATATGTCCTGTTTCCCCATTTCTCAGTTTCCAGTGAATAATGGTTAAGAGAGGATTTTATTTTCTGTAATACAACACAGAGCGTCATCCATTGAGTTTAATATGAACCAGGATTTTTGGTCTGCTCAAATGAAGCTAGGAGTAAATATGTCACTCCATTTCAAAATCCTTATCACATTTTGATTTTCCCCATAGCATCAGAATCCTTTTTCGGTTACACATATTATGACTCTTGAACCACAGACTCTAAAGGAAACTTCCAGTGCCAAGGTTTGTGGATGCTAAACTTCAAAGCTTAACTTCAAAGCCGGTCCATACCCAGGACCAGCTCCATGGTGCAGTGGTAATGCATTGCATAGGAGAAGCAAGACCCCACATAATGATCATGTTCAAATCCGTGGCCTGGTCACCTCAAAACACATCAGCATACAGGCAGATGCCCGAGATCTGACAGATTGAGGACTGGAAGAAGGGGATCACAGTGTGACCAAACCCTATGGAGGGTGCTTCTCTCTCTCACATGAACATGCATGCTCTCAGTCATGAGTAAATTAAAAAGAGATCCACCTCAGAGTTAGGGAAAGTTTCTGACCATCAGGGCTAATACTGGGAAAACTGGCAAAAGCTGGCTTAGGGTGCACTGTGATATCATTCTCTTCTCTGGACACCAGGGAGCAGACTCACTGAGGGTGACTGCTGACCACTCTTGTTTTTCAGACCTGAGCTCATATTCATAATCACTAGCTGAATAAAATATAATGTGATAGAAGGGACTTAATAGCATCCTCATTTCCAAACACAGCAGCTTTAGGAGACCAGTAATTGGGTCAGTGCACTGTGGAAGATGCTTGCCTGGAAAGGCCAGCTAGCTACAGAATGCTGTCTTTTAGCATATTTCTAGAAGAGAAGCATGCTATTTTTCTGTTTCATTTGGGGTCATCCATACATAGTCCTTAAGATTAAGGATTTTACCACTTAACCAAGTAAGTACCTGAAGGCTAATGAGGGTCTACTAATGATACTACCAGAAAATTATGTCTAAGTCTACTTTAGTTCAGGGAACCTTTTTTTGTTGCTGTTTTTAAGAGGTTTTTGCCTTAGGGTGCATGTGCTTGCTGGAGAGAAGGTGAAAGGGAAAATGAGAAATCACCTCTTGTAGGGATGACCACATTGCACTCCCTTCTCCATTCTCCTCCCAGGATCTTGGGCTTGCATGCACATGTGCCCAGCATGATTTTTCAAGCTACCAGGTCCAGGACTCGAACCACATCAGCCATGTGGGAGTCCAGTGACATAACTGCTATGCCATCTGTGGGTCCCATTTCAGGGCACTTAATGTTAACTGGTAGGGACTGTGTGTTGGACTAGATAAACATGCTTGTGATTAGTAAGTTAGGGTAAAATGGCAATTTCCTATCCTCGTGGTTTTGATAGACGTTTGTGTAGTAAAGTACAGTCAGGTGTGTGTGTCTGTATCAGGAGGGCACGGACAACTTCAAGTTCATTCTCATTACTTCTAGTTCACGGCTCCAGATTCGATCTTAACTACAGAGCAAGAACTGAGTATGACAAATATTCACATTTCAGAGCTGAGAGCAAACCATTCTAGGCTTTAGGAAACTCACCATTATAATAAGATCAGGAGAGAGATTTAATCTAATTTAAGCAGCATCTGCTGAAGAGGTAAGCCACCATTTTCATAGTAGCTTCGCCCCCTCCCTGCCCCCCAAGTTTAGTTTTATTTCTTTCATGAGAGAGTAACAGGCACCTTTGACAGGGTTTCTTCATGCCATGAACCTCCCTAGCCTTCCAACAAACTGATCATGGGCGTGACATGCCTGGCATGATTCACGCAGACCAGGATCCAAATCATGGTCTCCTGTGTAGCTCCGGCATTGCAGCGTGGCATCCTACTGTGTGTGCTGCCACCTGGGGCCTGTTAACAGTAGCTTCCTTAGTGAAGATGTGTATTCTATTTTGAATAAATCATGAAAAGAAAAATCACTTAAGTATTAAAATATTCTTTTTTTTTTTTTTAAGAGATTTTTGCTATAGGGCATGTGCACTCATGGAGAGACAGGAGGCGAGAAATCACTCCCTGGGGGGATGGCCACGCTGTAATCCCTGCTCTCCAT